GTCGGGAAAGGTCGCGGCGGAGCCTAATAACGAAGGCCTACGTGAGCACCTGGCGACCCTGTGGCAATTAAGCACGACCAACAGCAACGTGAGGAAAACCTTCTCGACGAGAACCACAAGAACCTAATGGCTAACCTGATTTGCAGACCGCAAAGGAAGAATGGGAGCGGGCGCTGATTCGGACAGGGCGCAAGGACCGCGGCGAGATCGACGTCCAGTGCATATTCGCTCTGCATGGCAGAAAGGAGCATGGCCCTTCCATGTCGGCAAACCAACGGAAATCTCAGTTGATGCTATGGAAGATTGTCTAGATTCCAAGTCCCCGTCCATTAGGCCTACGGAATGTGTGTGTTTCTATGCTCCTGTCTCCCGTAACCGTATTCTCATGGCTATATCGACTCGAACGTGCTGGCTGACCGTGCAAAGAATGGTAGAGAGACGGGAAGCAGGAAGACCAGCTGCCAAGGGCCCTTAACACTGCGTAGATCACAACCCAAGCCAACCACGGCCGCGCGACTACGGCCTCTATGGCCGCCACACCGGTACTGCGCGGCCGACAACACTCCCCCCCAGGGGGCAACACGCGCGCGACAGACAAAATAAAACGCGAGGCCAAAGGATGCCCAACGACCACAACAACTCACACAACGGCGACCCTAACGTCCTGAAGCCCGAGCAAGAAAGTCTTACGGTGAAAAGCGCCCCCTCCCAGGGCTCCCAAGGCCACACTACTAGGCTAAAAGACCCAACGGCAACCAAGTCCTCCTCAACCCTCTACTCCCAACCCGCCTGCTGACAAGCCACTCCTCAGCGGGCGTTTTCCACCGGTCCGCCGCTAGCCGAGCCCGGTGCGGAGGTGTCTGGGACTGACCAGTGGAGAAAGGAAAAAAAAGGAGGGGGGGGGTGAAAGAAAAGATAGCGACCTCGAATCAAAAGGGGAAAGGTGGGTGGGAAGCTGTCAGCTACAAGCTGAAGCTCTACTGAGTGAAAGGCAGAATGCCTGTAACGAAAGAGCTGAAGCAAATAATACTCGCCATTCCAATACGGTTGTACGACAGTCGCACAGAACCAGACTTGAAGACTCCGATCGCTTCGCTCCGTCGTATCTAAGTCAACAAATATGTTGCTATGCTTTCTGCCTTTAATATATGGCTTTACAGCGGCCAAATAGCAGTCCTACGAGGCCATCATCCCTTTGGCAGAAAAGTAGACGATGCACCTGAAGGCAGAAAGCATCGTTCGTTTATATCCTTTAGCAAAAGAAAATGCTGACGTGTCGGCTGCAATTTGCAAAGGTTTCTCTGTATGCCATGTAGTGCAGTCGATACGACAGTGCCGTACACTGATCTTATATAATTGGCGTCTCAGTCCTTGTTCAGAAGACTTGGGGCCACTGAACAGCTCTGCGCCGCTTTCCCTACCCAAGGACCGGCGGTCCGGTATACACACGTCGTACACAGTATCGTACACGTCGTATACCGCGGAATACAACTGCCAACATGCCAGTTACGGAACGAACAATGCAACCCCCTCCTCCTCTCCCTCCGCCACACATGCACACACATGCACATGCACATACAGGACCCATGGAGATACTTTTGATACGTCCTCCGGAACAACCGGGCCACCCATCCACACACAGCACAAACATAATCACGATGATGCTTGTCGTGATGATGGTTGTCGTGATGATGGTTGTCGTGATGATGCTTGTCGTGATGATGCTTGTATGATGATTGTGATGACGACAATGATGATGACATATCATCATCCTAAGCAACACAAGTGCCCACATGCTGCGTGCATATGGTGGCCACACACCATCGCATGTATGTACGTATGTATGCACGTATGAACAATAAGGTGCGTCCAAGCCCTGTACTTCCCCCCCACCTCCCCCGCACCCACACCGGCACAACGCCCCGTCCACCACCTCGACCTTCTAAAGCAATACACTACGAAAAGCGGGTCACACCCACCCTGCTGGTGTCTCTGCACCTTTCCAACCCGATGCCGTGACCCACTTTGCGGCCTCTATTTGAACCCTCTTTATTCCCAGAGGAGCCTTCTGCCTAGGGCCAATCGGGTCGAACCCGCGACATCCCATCCTAGCCTGTCCTGAGCTCCTTTTAAAACCGTTGCCGGTGGACAAGAGCCCCAACAGCTGCCGGCATGATTAGCGATCGCACCACCACCACCACCACCACCACACACACCCGTTAATCTGCACCATAACCATAACCGGCTCTACCACACCTCCTTCCTTCCGGCCTTAACTCCTCCCCCCTCCCCCCCCACACACACCACAGCAACCATAGAGCACATGCACTCTGCTTCATGTCCCACAGGCCCCTGTCTGCCCTCAAGGCGCTGGCCCCCGGTGGGGCACAGGGGGGGCCACCGTCCCCCCCAAGCGGAGCGACACTGGCCCCTCATTGCGCCTCTCAGAGCCCCGGGTGGGACCCCCGGGATCACCTCCGTACCCCACCCCCCCAACCCCTCCTCCTCCCCTACCGCCCGTGTTACACCATGCAGTCCTCCGGTGGTGGCGCATTGGGCCCCTGAGGCACATAAGCCCCACCTGACGACCCTCCACCTCCACCTCTTGCTGCTGCTGCTGCTGCCGCCACCAAAGGGCCCTCGGGGTGCATCGACGACCTCCCAGACGCCGCCGCTGCCGCCGTCGAGGGGTAGCCCGCCATCCCGCCCGACATCGCCGTCGTCACCGCAACAAGCTTCCGAGCCTCCTCTGCCCCACCGCCCCTCCACCGGCCCCCACCTCCACCGACAACATTAACCCCACCAATACGTCCTCCGCCATCCCTTCCCCTCT